CCCCAAAACCCCAAAACCCCAAAACCCCAAAACCCCAAAACCCCAAAACCCCGAATCTATATCAAGATTGAATCCAAAAATATGTTCAAGATTTTATCTAAATTTACTCAAGATATCAGATATTACTTCATATAAGCAACTGCATTTAGAAGGTTTCTATATGTAAATCTTAGTGTGACAACTGGAGTATCTTTGAGGTCCATTATGATTGTATCCTCTTCATGATCAGACTCTTCAAGTAGCTTCATCTTTCCGCCACAGATTTCTTCCCAAGAATACATCTAAATTTCAAAGAATGATTGCTTACAATAATAGAGCTGTCCTCAGCCCCAACTGCTATCCATTTATCATCATATGAAATATCAACTGCCCAGAGGGCATTTGAGGCTACCTTTTCCTCCTCATTTTCCTCATTGGTGTTATTTTCTCTAAAAATTAGCAAGTGTTTGAAATACTCATTGATTGACTTCATGGCGAATACTCTAGCTTCGTTCACATTAAATATGATCAACTCTCCGTTATCGTTGGTGGAGAGGAGGTATTTTCCTCCCACATTGGTAAATCTTAAACATCTTGTTGGAGAATCTCCAGTAACTATTAGATCAGGCAAATTTGCTTACTGAAAATCCTAACTCAATCCCCTTTTTCGACCTCCCACATTCTGATAGTGTTGTCATTTGAAGCTGTAGCAACATAATGTATGTTTGGATGAAAGGTAACAGCTTCAACATCACTGAAATGGCCTCTGAATAGCCTTAAAGGAGTTATCGAGCTAGTTCACCATAGTAAAGCAGTTGTATCAGCAGATCCAGAAGCAAAGAAATACCCAAATGGGCAGAACTGAATGTCCCAGATTGGTCTTATATGTCCTTTATAGACAACTAGAGAGGTTATTTCATTAGATTGCTTTTCCATAGGAATACTCCACAATCTTATTGTTGCATCATGAGATGCAGATATTAGTAATTCATTGTCGTAAGAAATAGATACAGAGTATATAGGACCTTTATGTCCAACACAATCTATTTCTTCTATCTTATGATCTCTATAATCTAAGCCAAGTATCATACTTTGTCTTGTTCTTTATTTCTTTTCTATGTATTTCTTCCTTCTTTTTGTCCTCAGGGTTCATATCTTCATCCTCACGATTATCTTCGTTATTCTTCTTATCCTTTTCAGCCTCTTTAGACTCCACAACAGTTCATGAATATTTGAAGATTTTAACGAGTCCATTACTAAATCCTGAAGCTACTATATCTCCAACATAGCTGACATCTGAACAGATTAATTGGTTTGTCGAGTCTATTTATCAGAAAGTTATTACTTACGAGTCACAGTATGTACTCAGACTGTCTTCAGATCTTCAACACTCTTCTCTAGTTCTCCTAGCAAGAACATTGTGTAATCAATCTTGTTAGGAATAGGAATATCTGCTACTGAAATGTCCATATAATCCTCTTTCTTATAATGATGCCTTCTAGTCCCGCTACTCAATTTGAGGGATTTGAGCTTGAGAGATTTCTTATTAATAGTGCCCTCAATATCAACTCCTGAGTCTAACAAATACCTGACAACCTTATTATTGCTATTAGAGATTCCTCTAGTAACCATCTTTGAAAACTCCAGGTTATTACTAATCACATTAAGTACAGTTTGGAGTTTTTTGACTTGTCAATAATGGACCAAGATATAAATGCATTCTCTGCTAGTGCTAACTCGATCTCTACCAATTAGTCTAAATTCACTTACTTCTTATCCAAAAACTTGGAGTAATATTTATTATCAAGATTTCTTCGCTCAGGAATAGTCTCTAGTTCCTCTATAATGTCCAAGTACTCCTGGTTTGCTTTGAATTTGTCTTTGAATTCATCAAAGAAGTTCTCTGCTTCTACAAATTTGCTCATTTGGAGCATGTCCAAGTACATGTTTTTAAATATTGGCCAGGCTAATGACTTCATTTCCTCTTTGTACATATCCAAAGTGTGATCGCAACACTCCCAAAAGAGCTTGTATTGGCGGATCTCATGAGGAATCCCAGGGATCTTCATTGAAGCTGAAATATCCATTTTGGCAGGCTCTGGAGTAGGTGTAGGGGCTTTTGGATCTGACATTTTTAGGCAAGCAAGTTTAATTTTGGTATGTTATAAAATCCAATATTTTAACTTGTGATGGGGTTTTGGGGTTTTGGGGTTTTGGGGTTTTGGGG